CTCTCGGTGTCTGCCCTCTCTCGGTGTCTGCCCTCTCTCGGTGTCTGTCCTCTCTCGGTGTCTGCCCTCTCTCTGTCTGCCCTCTTGGTTTCTGCCCTCTCTCCCTGTCTGCCCTCTCTCTCTGTCTGCTCTCTCTCTGTCTGCCCTCGCTCTCTGTCTACCCTCTCGGTGTCTGCCCTTTCTCTGTCTGTCTTCTCAGTGTCTGCCCTCTCTCGGTGTCTTCCCTCTCTCTGTCTACCCTCTCGGTTTCTGCCCTCTCTGTCTGCCCTCTCTCTGCCTGCCCTCTCGGTATCTCTACCCTCAGTTTCTGACATAAGAACATAAGATATTGGAGCAGAATTAGGCCATTCGGTCCATTGAGTCTGCTTCACCATTCAATCATGGCTGATGTATTTCTCCTGCCTTCTCCCTATAAACCTTGATCTCCTTACTGGTAAATAACCTATCTATCTCTGTCTTTAAATACACTCAATGATTTGGGATCCACAGCCCTCTGTGGCAATGTGTTCCACAGATTCACCATCCTCTGGCTAAAGAAACTCCTCCTCACCTCAGTTTCTAATAGGTTGTCCCTTCACTCTAAGGCTGTGCCCTCGAGTCCTAGTCTCTCCTATTAGTGGGACATCTGCTCTGTCCAGGCCTCTCAGTATTCTGTAAATTTCAATCAGATCCCCCTCATCCTTCTAAAATCCATTGAGTATAGACCCTGAGTCCTCAATTGCTCCTCATATGACAAGCCCTTCACCCCAGGGACCACTTTTGTAAGCCCTCTTGGACCCCCTCCAACACCAGTATATCCTTTCTTAGATACAGGGCCAAAACTGCTCTCAATATTCCAAATGCGGTCTGTTGAGAGCTTACACAGCCTCCGTAGTACATTCCTACATATCATAGCCCTCTTGAAACAAATGCTCATATTTGCTGTTCTAATCACCGTGTGAACTGCACATTAACCTTAACAGAATCTTGAACTAGAACTCCCAAGTCCCTTTTTTCTACAGGTTTCTGAAGACTTGCCCCATTTGGAAAATAGTCTCCACCCCTATTCTTCCTACCAAAGCACACAACCTCACATTCTCCCACATTATATTCCATCTGTCACTTCATTGCTTGGTCTCCTAGCCTGCTCTTCTGCAGCCTTCCTGCTTCCTCAACACTACCTGTCCCTGTCTTTGTGTCCTGTGTCCTGTGGGGGTCTGCCATTGTGGCGACAACACCAGGAATATTGTTTGTCACCTTCTCTCTTTGTTTTCTCCCATCCTCTCTCACAGGGACTTTGTGCCAGCAGAGGGTCAGAGTTCTTTTTATTCACTCACAGAATGAGGGCATCGCTAGGCCAGCATTTATTGCCCATCCCTAGTTACCCAGAGAGCAGTTAGGAGTCAACTCTTTTTCTGGTGTGTGGCACATGTCAGCCTAGGGAGCCACTTAGACAAAGGGGCAATTAGGGATTGTCAACAAATGCTGGCCTTGCCAGTGAAATGCACACCCCAGAAAAGAATAAATAATTTTAAAAATCTCATTGTGCTTACAAAGCTGATGACTGTGTGATGTGATAGAGAAGAGGGAAACTCCTGAGACTAAATTTTGCAACATCTGGAGGGAAGACCTTGCATTTATAGAGTGTCTTCCACAAAATCAAGGCATCCCAAAGCTCTTCACAACTGATTAAGTACCGTTGAAGTCTAATCACTGTTATGACATAGAAAACTCAGCAGTCATTTCTCACGTAGCTTGATCCCACAAATAGCAAAGTGGTAATGAGCAGAACCATCTACTGAAGTGATATTGGGTAAGGAATAAATATTGCCCGAGTCATTAGTCAGTCTCCCTGACTCTTCTTCCAAACAGTGCCATGGGATCTTTTATATGCTAATAGAGACCTGGATTAATATCTCATCTGAAACACAGCCATCCAGTGGCACAGCACTCCCTCCAATGTCAGTTTAAACTTGTTAGAATGTAGAGAAGATATTTTTCACCTAGAGAGTGGGAGGAATCTTGAATATGTCTATGGGCCAAGTATTGGCAAGTGAGATTAGTGTCAGTGGAAAGGTCAGTGCAGACCTAATGAGCTGAAGGGTCTCTATGTGTCTGTGTGACTCTACAGTAAACGTCAACCCACAACTTTAAAGGGCATCAGTGTATGGGAATGCCATAATCTCTAAAATCCCCTCTTGCTCCCCCAATTTGGACTAATGTGACCATTCCTTCATTGTCACTCTTCTAACAGCCCTCTGGGTGCCTACACCAATGGATTGCAATGTTATGAGAAAGCCCACAATCAACTTCTCAAGGTTCATGGGGGAGGGAACTTAATCCTGGCCTTACCAATGGCAGCTATATCTCAAAAGCGAATACAAAGAAGCAAGTGAGTGAGCTTTGATTTTGTTGATGGTTTTCATTGACTTGCAGTTAATATCACTCGGAGTGACCACTGACACTAAGTACTCCACTCCATATTTGAGGCAACTGAACGCCAGACAAAAGGAGGCCTGGATTGCAGAACGTGCTTTTGTTGCACTCTTTATTGCTGCTCACAGGGGCCACGTGAACACCGTCAATTTTCTTCTGATCAATGGTAAGGACAACATCCCTATCATAGATTTCCTGCAGTGCAGAAAGAGGCCATTCAGCCCATTGAATCTGCATTACCCTTCAAAGAGCATCCCATCCAGACCCACCCTATCCCTGTAATCCCACATGGGGCTTTTACCACTGCTAAAATACCTAGCCTGCACATCCGTGGGCATTATGGGGCAATTTTTTTTACCGTGGTCAATTCAATACTGAACTGCCCTCTGAAATGGTCCTAGCAATACAGGTATTGCCAGTGACACCCATATCTCATAAGAGAATATTTTTCTAAAATTCCAGGACCCAAATCCTCACACAAATATCTTTTTAAGCATATTTTTGAAATTGTTAAATAGCCACCAACGTAATTGTACTGAACCTGCAATCTCTCCCAGGTGACTGAATGGTGATCTTCAAATCACCTCAGTATCACCTACAGTCCTTTCAAATGCAACTTTTCTTGTATCAATCTTGGGTCTGGGATTCTCTGTGTTTGCTGCTGTTCTTCTTTCTACTGAGATTGATAGGTTTTGGTTGCATTAAATTAGTAAGGAATAAAAAGAAAAGGTGGACTAGCCGCAATCTCACTGAACTGACAGAGAAAGCTCAAAGGGACTGGTCCAATGCTGCTACATTCAGATCCTTATCTGCACATTCTGCTCTGTTCACTCACTGCTCTGTTCACTCACTGCTCTGTTCACTCACTGCTCTGTTTACTCACTGCTCTGTTCATTCACTGCTGTTTACTCACTGCTTTGTTCACTCACTGCTCTGTTGACTCACTGCTCTGTTCACTCACTGCTCCATTCATGTGTTCCTATGTTCCACATTGCTCTACTTGGGCATTCATGTGTTCACATGCCCGTATGTACATGTGCACATTACGCTTTGTTCACATGATATGTACACATGTATGGGTACTTCTATGTTTACATGCTCCTGAATTCACATGTTCCTGTGCACATGTTCCATGATTGTCAGGTACCCCTATGTTCATATCCTCCTATTTCTTCATGTGTTCATTATGTTAATGTGCTCATGTTTACATGCCCCTTACATTCATATGCTCCTATGTATATGTACTGCTCTGTTTACATGTTCTATGCTCAAATACCCCTCTATTCACATGCCCCTCTCTTCATGTGCTCATGAATGGACCAGGGTGTCCCGGGGGGGCATTTTGGAAGGACAAATGCCAGAGAAAAGTGGCAGGATCCTTGCGAGCGCAGATATACAGAGGGATCTTGTGGTACAAGTCCATAGTTCCTTGAAAGTGGCAACACAAGTGGATAATGTAGGTAAACAAGATGTATGGCATGCTCGCCTTCATTGGTTGGGGCATTGACTATAAAGGTTGGCAAGTTATGTTGCAGCTTTATTTAGGCCACATTTGGTGTGTCATGTGCACTTCTGGTTGTCACACTACAGGAAGGATATGGAAGCTTTGGAGACAGTGCGTAAGGGGTTTACCAGCATGTTGTCTCGATAGGTGTGCATTAGCCATGAAGAGAGGTTGGACGAACTTGGATAACACAGTGTGGAGCTGGAGGAAGACAGCAGGTCAGGCAGCATCAGAGGAGCAGGAAAGCTGACTTTTCGGGTCGGGACCCCTCTTCAGAAACGGGGGAGGGGGGCTCTGAAATAAACAGAGAGGGGAGGGGTGGGCTGGGGAAGTTAGATGGGATGGTAATAGGTGAGTGCAGGTAGGCAGTGGTGGGAATTGGTCAGTGAGGTGGGAGGAGCAGATAGGTGGGAGAGAAGACGGACCGGTCAAGGAGGCGGGGATGAGAGGGAGGGTTGGTAATGGGATGAGGCCGGGGGTGGGGAGATTTTGAAGATAGTAAAGTCCACATTGAGACCATTGGGTTGTAGGCTCCCAAGGCGGAATATGAGATGCTGTTCCTCCAGTTTCCAGGTGGCATCGTTGTGACACTAGATGAGGCCCAGGATGGACATGTCGTCCAGTGAGTGGGAGAGGGAGTTGAAGTGGTTCGCGACTGAAAGGTGTTGTTGTTTGCCGCGAACAAAGCGTTGGTACTCTACAAAGCGGTTTCCGAGCCTCCGCTTGGTCTCAATGATGTAGAGGAGGCCACATCGGGAGCAGCAGATGCAATAGACCACATTAGCGGATGTGCAGGTGATGTGGAAGGTTGTTTTGGGGCCTGGAAAGGAGGTGAGGGGGAAGGTGTAGGGGCAGGTGTAGCATTTCCTGCGATTGCTGGGAAAAGTGCCGGGGGTGTTGGGGAGTGTGGAGTGGACGAGGGAGTCGCGGAGAGAGCTGTCCCTACGGAATGCAGATAAGGGTGGGGAGGGAAATATATCCTTCATAGTGGGGTCAGATTGCAGGTGGCAGAAGTGGCGGAAAATGATACGTTGAATACAGAGGTTAGTGGGGTGATATGTGAGGACAGGGGGGTTCTGTCTTTGTTTTGGTTGCGGCAAGGGGATGTGAGGGCAGAGGTGCGGGAAATGCAAGAGATGCGGTTGACCACTGAAAGGGGGAAGTTGTGGTCCTTGAAATACGAGGACATCTGGGATGTTCGGGAGTGGAACACCTCATCTTGGGAGCAGATTCAACATATCATTCTCCGCCACTTCCACCACCTGCAATCTGACCCCATAATGAAGGATATATTTCCCTCCCCACCCCTATCTCCCTATCTGCCTTTTGTCTGACGGCTCTCTCCGCGACATCACACATGCCCCTATGAACACGTGCCCTTGGCTTCACGCGCCACTCTGCTGATGTGCTCCTATGTTCACGTTTCTGTGTACACATGTTTATTTGCTGCTTTGTTCATGTGCTCCCAGTATAAACATGCTGCTTTTTCATGAGCTCCTGTGTTCACATGCTCCTAATGTACGTGTGTTCCTAATGCATATGTGCTGCTCTGTTCATGTGTTGCTCTTTTCATATGCTTCTAATGTACATGTGCTATGATCATGTGTTCCTATGTGCATATGCTCCTCGGTTCACATGCTGCTCTGTTCATGTGTTCCTATGTTCACATGCTGCTGTTTCGCACTCTTGTGGCATGCTCCTAATGTACACATGCTCCTAACGTTCACGTTTTCTATATAACATGCTCCTAATGTACATGTCTTCCTATGTGCATGAGCCCTTATGTTCACATGCTATTCCATTCACATGGCCTGATTTGTATGTGCCTCTATGTTCATGGGTCCCCTGTGTTCACATAACCCTATGTTTAAGAGCTCCTGTGATTCATGTATTACTCTTTTCACATGCTCTTCTGTAGGACCATAAGAAATAGGAAAGAACACTTTTAAAAAAAACACCAATGGTATTAAAAGTCAGCATTTCTTTATGAAAGGTAAGTGATGGTTGAGCAAACCTACCAGAGTTTTTTGAAGACATAACTAGTAGAACAGCTGAGGCTGAACTAGTGGACAGATTTTCAGAGATAGTAGGAACGTTGCTGGAGAATCTGAGATAACAAGGTGTAGGCTGAGGAGTGGCAGATGAAGTTTGTTGATGGCGAGGTGTTGCGTTTTGGTAATACAAACCAGGACTTACAGAGTTAATAGTAGGGCACTCAGGAGTGTTGTTGAACAGAGAGAGACATAGGGGTTCAGGTACATTGTTCCTTAAAGTGGCGTCACGGGTAGACAGGGTGGTGAGGTGGTGTTTGGTATGCTTGCCTTCATTAGCCAGAGCTAATAGGAGTTGGGAGAGCATGTTGTAGCTACACAGGATGCTGATGAGGCTACTTTCGGAATACTGCATATTGTTCTGGTCACCCTGCTATGGGAAGAATATTATTGAATTGGAAAAGGTACAGAAAAAAGTTACAAGAATGTTACTGGGACCTGGATGATTTGAATTATTAGGAGAGGCTGGATAGGCTGGGACTCTTTTTTTCCCTCTCAGGGGTAGGAGGTTTATGAAATCATGATGGGTACAGATAAGGTGAATAGCCAAGGCCTTTTCCCCAGGGTAGGGAAATTCAAAACTAGAGGGCATAGGTTTAAGCTGAGAGGGGAAAGATTTAAAATGAACCTGAGGGGCAACCTTTTGACACAGAAGGTGGTTCACGTGTGGAATGAACTGTCAGAGGAAGTGGTAGATGCAGGTACAATTACAACATTTTAAAGACATTTGGACAAGTACGTTAATAGGAAAGGTTTAGAGGGATCTGCGTCAAATGCAGGCAAGTGGGACTAGTTTAATTTGAGAAACCTGGTTTGCCCGAATAAGTTGGTCCCAAGGGTCCGTTTTGCGCTGTAAGGAACAGGAACTGGAGTAGGCCACTTGACTCTCACCTGCTCCACCATTCGATAGGATCATGGCTGTGAAACATTGCTTGCATCCAGTTTCCTGCCCTTTCCCCATAACCCTTGATTTCCTTCCTAATCAAGAATCCATCTATCTATCTATCTCAGTCTTAAGTATATGTAAGGACTCTGCCTGCATGGCTGTCTTTAGCAAGGAGTTCCAAAGACTCATAACCATCTGAGAAGAAATTCCTCCTAACTCAGTCTTAAATTAGTACCCTTTTACTCTGAGATTATGGCCTCTGGTCCTAGACTCTCCCATTTACTCTGTCAAGCCCCTTAAGCATCCTATTTGTTTGTCCTTTTGTATTGCTGATTTAATACAACTATTTTCCATTTTAATAAAAGTGTTCATTTGTTCTGCCTTCCAAAATAAACAGCTTCATATTTTTCAACATTATAATCTATTTGCCAACTTTTTGCTCATTTACTTAATGTGGAATATCTCTCTGTAAACTGCTTGTTTCCCTGTTGCAACCTACCTTTCCACTTATTTTTTGTCGTCTGCAAATTTGACTACAGTACATTCACCTCCTCCAAGTCATATAGTAAACAGTTGCAGCCCTAGCACTGATCCCTGTGGAACCCTACTGGTCAGGGGACACCAACCTGAAAAATAACCCATTATCCCACTCACTGTTTCCTGCCCATTTACCAATTCTCTATCCATGACAATATGCTACTTCAACACTGTGGGCACTTTTGACTTAACCTTTTGTGAGATCCACCTTGTACGAATGCCTTATGGAAATCCAAACACAACAATCTACTGGTTCCCCTCTATCCACTCTGGTTGAGAGTTCCTTGAAAAACTCTAATAAATTTGACAGATGTGATTTCAATTTCATGAAGCTATGCTGACTTTGCTTGAACTGATCAGGATTTTCCAAATGTTCTGTTATTATTTCTTTAAAAATTGATGCCATGTTCACGTGTTTCTGTCTGTTTCCAGGTGCTAATCCAAATGCCAAAACTGCAAGTGGACGCACTGCTCTCCACATGGCAGTTGTCATGGCCAGGTCTGAGTGCCTTGACCAGCTGCTGCTTCATGGAGCTGAGGCCGAAGACCCTGACGGTAATGCTGAGACGTTGATGAGTCTGGCTCATATGACAGGACACCAGGGCAATATCAGCAAGCTCTTCCAAGTCCAATGGATGAAACGGAAAACTGGCATTAAGACCAATTCCCTCATGGACAAGTCAGCTCTCTTTGCTCACCAAAAGTTTGACTCCACATTGAAGACATGGCACAAGGGCACTTATGGCACGGTCTACATGGCCAACCTGCTGAAACCGGGTGAGCCACGAGCTGCCACTATTAGAGTGCAGAAGAGCCTAGTCCAGAAAAACCGACCCACCAGCACTGCCAGGCTGTCCGGGCGCAGGAAAAGCAGTAAACAAACCCAAAAGCCCAATCCGATCAAAGGTATAAGTGAAGCACAGGATGGCATATTAACCACACAGCCCAGTGATAGTTGGCAGAAAGAGGCTACTGGCACCAATTCTCAAGTAAACAACAAAGACTCCCTCAGGCAAGATGCCTCCTTGTTAGCCAATGTAAAGTCCAAACCCAGCAAAACAAAACCTCAAGAGGGTGGGCAGGCCAACCCATCTTAGCTGAGGTAGACTGGGGGCAGTGGCAGAATGAAGGGCGAGGGACAGAGGAAGGACAGACCTTGGCAATGGGTTGCTAGAGGGGGAGATGATGAAGGAAGGTGGGAGAGAAGGTGATGCCGCTGCAAGGAGAGATAGGGAGGAGGGAGAGGGATAGGATTGAGGAGAACTGGGAGATTGATGGGAGAGTGGGGAAAGAAGGATGGGAGGAGAGCTTGGGAACAGTATGGGGGGTGGTGGAGTATCAGGGAAATAGGAGGATAGCAGAATGGGAGGAAGGACTGGGATGAGTGGGAGAGAAAAGTGAAAAATGAGGGACAGTACAGAGTGGGATGGAGGAGTGGAAGGAGAGGGAGGATTTGGTTGGAAGGATTACGGATGGGGTAGAGGTGAGGGCTGAGGGAGTGAGGGGTGCAGTGTATGTTCTCCTGGGCTGCCATGTGTTGATTGGTAAATGGCTTAGTGCAGAGTAACCCCCAAGTTCCAACAGCCACGGAACCACATCCCCACTGCTAGGCCATTTCTCTGCCCAGGTCCATTGTTACCTGTTCAATTACAGATGGAGAGGGCAGGATATCAAAATGCTGCCAGTACAAATCCAGTCCTTTGACATTGAGACTTCAACAACAAAATAAATCATAAACAAAAGCCTCAGTCAGCTTCTTTGATCTTTGTGGATTTACACTTCAAGCAAGATGAGGATGTGCAATGTAGAAAAATCTGACTACAACTGTACAAGGTGCTATTGCGACCACATCTGCAGTATTGAGCAGTTATTTGTACAATAACTGTACAATAAGAAAATATATAATTTGATTGGAGGCAGTTCAGAGAAGGCTCATTAGGATAATCCCTGGTATGGAGGGATTGTCTTATGAAAGGAGGCTGAACAGGCTGGGACTCTACTCACATGGAGTTTAGAGAATGACTGGTGGTCTCATTGAAATATACAGGATTCTTCAGGGGCATGAAAGGGTAAACACTGAGAAGATGTTTCCCTTCATAGGAAGAGTTTCAGACCTGAGGACATAGTCTCAGAATTAAGGGGCCCAATGTAAGACTGAGATGAGGAGGAATTTCTTCTCTTAGAGGGTTGAGAGTCTTTGGAATTCATTGCCACGGAGAGCTGGGAGGGCAGAGTCCTTGCGTATATTTAAGGCTGAGATAGATTGATGTTTGATTAGGAAGCAAATGAAGGTTTATGGGGTAAGGGCAGGTAAGCAGATGAGAAATGTTGGATTAGCCATGATCCTATTGAATGGTAGAGTAGGCCTGAAGGATTGAAAATTTACTTCTCTTCCTATTTCTTATGGTCTTTTAATGCCTGGATCAAGTCTGTTCATCTGCTTCCCTCCTCACAGACTACAGTATACAGTTTTGTAAATATCCCAACATCCTGCAACAGTCTAAATTAGAAATGATCACATTATTATTCATCACATTCATTGAACATTACATAAAGGAGTCAGTTAATGTGTCATGTTTAAACAGATGGTCAGATGATGATTGTCAATGAATTCTATCAGAAAATTCTGCTTTCTGACCTGAGAACCAGCAGCTGCAGCTTCATTCATTAAAACTGAGTTCAGGATCACAGTCACAGAATTGTTGTGGTGTAGAAGGAGGCCATTCAGCCCATTATGTCTATGCACGTAGTGCCAAACCTCTGTCTTTTTCCTGTAACACTTGCATATTGAACAGATATTATTGGGGTCAGAGAGAGACGAGCTATAGCAGGATGTGTGGAAGAACTGGTCGAGAAGTCTGGTGAGGCCCACTTTGATGCCATCTTTTATGCTCTTCATAGTGAGGGGAGTTTCTCAAAAGGCAGCAGCGTGTTGCCAATTAAGGGGGACTTTTTGCTTGTTAAGTCTTCTTAACAGTGCGACTCACCCCATTAACATTCAGGTTCCTATCATAGCAAACTCATCAAACAAATTTGATGTTGAGAAAACATGACCTGGAAACCAGAGCAAGTACCTGATGAAGTCAGTTCGCTACTTGCTCCAAAAGGAATTCATGTTGGACACAGCACTGACGACTCAGGCCACATTCCATGGACACTGACCACATGTTATCCCACATAAACAGACATTGGCATCCAACACATACCAGACTTTTAGAACTTTCATGGTACATCTCTGAACCACTTAAGAGGATGTTTCTGCACTTCAATGTTGCAATTTGGGCTGCAAGGGGAGGCGATGGTTTAATGGTATTATCGCAAACACCCAGATAACGTTCTGGGGACCTGGGTTCAAATCCCACAAAGGCAGATGGTGGAATTTGAATTCAATAAATACCTGGAATTAAGAATCCATTGAATCCATAAATCCATTGTCGATTGTCAGAAAAACCCATCTGGTTCACTAATATCCTTTAGGGAAGGAAACTGCCATCCTTACCTGGTCTGGCCTACATGTGACTCCAGACCCATAGCAATGTGGTTGACTCTTAACTCATCCCTCTGGGCAAAGAGGGATGGTCAATAAACATTGTCTAGCCAGTGACACCCTCATCCCGTGAACGAATAAAGAAAAAAAACTGACAACTGACAACATAATGTTGCAACAAGGGTACTGTGCACTCAGGGACACACACACATCTCATGGACTGGGCCAGGCTGTATCTCCAAGCATTCTGCATACTGTCACAGCACACACTCAGTCTGAGGCCATCTGGATGCTCATTCCATCCCTAACTTCCTTTTTTGAGCTTTGCCCCTTCATTCAGAGATACCAGGCCCAGATTGCTGTTATCTTGCCTTGTCGTTTAGTGCTTGGACACAGTCAGTCAGCCACTCGGTCTGGTCAGAGTCAGGATCATCTCCTTGCAACGGGAAAGGAGCTGAATGTCAGACAGCCCACAATCCGTCTTCAGTATTTCCACCCTACAGGCCTGTTTCCCACCTGGAATGAGTGTGAGAGAGCAAGACAGGGCTAATGGGAGATGGAAGTGGGTGGCTCAGCTGTTACTATTGGTGCAGGTGCAGGATTTTCCTGACCGAGTGAGTACACAGCACAGAGGGTATGCAGGGTAAGTGGTGACAGGGGTTGGGGTGGGTGAGACCAATGGAGGCAAGATGTTGCAGGCAACAATGAGAGTGGTAGAGCAGGAGCCTTTGTGGGAGCTAGGTACAGTAAGAGAAAGACTGAACGTTGGGTATTGGAGAGAAAATGGTGGCACTTACACTGGCAGAGTGAGGAAGGACATAGATCTTCCTACAGTGCTGGGCATTCCTTCAGATGGCTGAGACTGCTATAACCTGGGTGGCAACCTCAGACAAGGCTCCACACATCCTGGGGGTTGAGCAAGTCCTGCCTATGTACCACCCTGTCCAGCATGAGCTCCAGGTCCCCACTGTCAAAGTGGGGTGTGATTCCACTCCCCCATCCTGTTCCATGAGAGACTCTGCAGGGGCATGATAAGTAGTTAATGAGACGAACTTGGTAAGTTTGGCCTCATGGTGAACAACTTGCCAAAAACCTTGATGCAATTCAGACTTGGCCAAAAATGTAAAATACAGCCCACTGTCAATTTAAATAATCATCCAAAGTCCTCATGAATTGCCTCACTTGAACCTGCCCTCACAGTATCATGCAGTTCATTCCAGACATTAACTATTCACTTTGAGAGACCATTTTCTCTCACCTCATATTCGCTTCTTTTGCAAATCACTTTAAAACTGTGCCCTCTGGTTCTTGATCTTTTTACCAGTTTGATCCATTTATGATTGAATGCAGTTTCTTCCTATCCACTTTCCCCCAGCCGCTCATTATTTTGAAAACATCTATCAAATCTCTCCTCAGCCTTCTCCTTTCCAAAGAGGACAGTCTCAACTTCTCCAATCTCTCTTCAAACCATAGTGTCTCATTTCTGGAACTATTGTCATAAACTAATAAACAAACACTTTGTGGTTAATCCTGCCCTAGCTGAAAGGGCAAGTCATCCGTTGCCCTGAACAAGTCAGTGATGAAGCTAATTTGTATTCTACACCCTCTCCAACGTGTACATCATTCTCCCCTGAGGCATCTAATCCAGCCAGCAGAGGGCTGCCTTTACCTTGCATTCAATCCCCTACAACCTGTTCCAAGCAGGATTATGTCACTCTAAAATTCTGTCAGTGTTCCCTGCTTTTCTATAACTGCTTTAAAGAACATATTAGCTTGGTAATTCCTACACAATAACATGCACACTTTATGTGGTTAACCTTACCCTATCTGTCCGACAGGGTCAATCACCCATTGCCTTGAATAAGCAACCGATCATTTCTTATAGCAGATCAGGCTAAAATACAAAGGGTAAGGAGCACAAACTTTCACAGGTATGAGTGAGTTTTAGGGATGTCAGTTCTTATATTGTTCAAATTGTGAAGGAATGTGTAGTGATTGTAATGAGGTCAGCCAATTGGACTTCACAGAATGCAAGTTCCCTGTTTGAGGCTGTTATTCTAGTCCAATCAGGGAGCCCTGGCTTGACAGGTTAAAAAGGGGACTGTCAGAGATTCTGACACACTGAGGTCAACTCTGAAGAGGCAGTACTAAAGCCAAGGACTGCTCATGTGTAAGTAAAGGGTGACTTGGGGATGAGATACTGGCCTCTGAGCCGTTATTTCAGGACAGTGAGGTGAGGGTCTGCTGCTATAGCATTGCCCTTTTGGTGGTATAGAAACTCAGATTGGTTCACAGTTGGAAAATATGATACCTTCAGCTCCTACTTAGTACCATGTACACTTACTGCATCCCTAGTACCCACACCCCTTCAGCATTCACTTTGCCCACAGCATCGTTTCCTCAGCATCCACTATGCCCTCAGAACCAACTGCACTTCTAGCACACACTATGCCCAGTACCCTCTTTGCACTCTTAGTGACCCCTGTACACTCAACACTGTGCATAAGGCACCCACTGTATTTCCAACACCCACTGTATGCTCAGTGCCCTCTTTACAGTCAGCACCCACTGTTACCACTGTGCTCAGTTTCCACAGAACCCAATCTCCAGTACCTACTGTAAACCAGGATCCACTGTGCCCTCAGTCCACCCCCACTGTTACAGATAAAGAGGTCTTTGGCTGACTCACTAACTTTCTCCTTAAAGCTGTTTTTCCTTATCCTGAAACTTTTGACATTTCTCCCACTTTACTTTGCAGTTGTTATGAAAACATTTTGCTCTAAACCTTTGAATTTTGTTTTACAGCTATTGAATAAATTTCAGACAGCCAGATGCTGTGAAACCTCTGGAGTTCCCCTATGATTTAAATGATGACTTGTCAGAGGTATATCAGACAGAGTTGTGAGCAGTTACACACTTGCTATTTCAGCTCAGTGATAAAGACGCAAACAATCCAAGCTGTGCAGTTGCAGGAAACCAATCTTCACCAACTGTTCCAAGATGAACTACAACTAACGCTTTTGGACCATTCCCCCAGGGTAAACCATCAAGAGGTCTAGCTGTCATTCATGCATAAAGCAGACCATTACACATATCTGCCACCCATGTGACCAGCTGAAACCTTCTCATGTAAAGACACTCTTTCAATGCATTTAGCAATGAATATTGAAATATGTCAAGCTATAGAGATCTCTGCAGACCCTCCTTCAGTCAGCCCCATTCCCGAGGTCTGTAGTCCTGAAAGTGTTTTCTTTTCAATCTGTTTAGTCCTGACTCAACTAATCCTTCATAGTCCTGGCTTGTCCCTCACATTCTGTGAACTTGAAGTCATTCCAAACTCTGTTGCTGGTATCTTCTCTTCCATCAAATCCTGTTCAGTCACTGCTCCTGTATTCAAACAGAGTTGGAGAAACTCAGGTCTGGCAACATCTGAAGAGACAGAAAAAGTTAACATTTTGACCTTTCTAGCATTTTCTGTGATTGTTTCAGATTTCCTATATCCTCTATTTCAACTCTATTACTCCTGTATTTCACTGATCTATAATGGCTCCCAGTCAAGCAACTGCTGGGGGGAGGGTGGTGGTGGGGTGTTGTTGTCACAGATGAGGAGGAATTTCTTTACCCAGAGAGAGAGTGGTGAAACTGCGGAACTCTCCACCACTGGAGACTGTGCAGGCCAAAATACTGAAGACTTTCAAGAAATATGTAGCTAAAGCTCTTAGGTGAAAGGGATAAAAGAAGATTGAGAGAAAGCAAGAACAGGATATTAAGTTGGATGATCAGCCATGACTGTACCGAATGGTGGAGGAAAGTTGAAGGCCGAATGGCACACCTCTGCTCCAGTTTTCTGTTTCTATATAACTCCACTCTCTGGGGAAGGGTGGGGGGCATGTGGAGTAGATATCTAAAAAGAGAGCCCACGCTGCTTTGAATGTACAGCTAATAGTTTCAATCTGGTATCACAGTCACTTCGTTGGCACCTGGTGTCTCGGTTGTACATTACAACTTGATTGAAAAATCTTGGAAACAGCTATTTTCCAGGAGCTTTTATACAAAAACAGATCAAGCTAACAGCATTCCAAAAACAATTAAAACATTCTGGTGAAAGGTCATCAACCTGAAACATCGAAATCAAAATCAAAGAAGTGCAGATGTCAGATATTTGAAATACAAACAGAAAATGCTGAACAGTCAGTTCTATTTCAAGTTATTGAGTCATAGAGCAAGGAAACAGGTCCTTTGGTCCAACTCATGTTGTAACTCAACCTAGATCTACCACTTTCTCTGGCAGTTCATTTCACATACAAATCACCCTCTATGAAAAAGTTGCCCCTCAGGTCCCTTATAAAGTTTTCTCCTCTCCCCTTAAAAATATGCTCCATAAGTCATATTGAACTCAATGATAACTCGCTTGCTCTCTCCAAAGATGCTGCGTGACCAAATCAGTCTCTCCAAACTTATTCTTATTTCTAAAACTTTTTTAGTTTAATTATGCAAATCTAGAATGAATATTCTTAAGGAACAGCAGATCAATGGATTGGTGTTCAGATTTTCTGAAATGGAGCTTTTACCAATGAACGTTCAAAAGGTTGCTAGCCACATGTGGCTTGGATATATAGACGGCTGCCCTGGAAGAGAGCATTATTGACCATCTTCTCCACATCTTGATTAGTATATATCACAAACATCAAAGATTAAGGAAAAATTCAAGAGGAAAGATAGCCAAATCCATAAGAACTTATTGCAATATTGTGAATGTTGTACAGCACAATTTCAAATCACAGAAAAAAATTTATTGTCATCTTGAAGAACAGACTCAAATGAGAAAATGTGGAAGAAATAAAGATTTTTCTTTCACTGGTTTTATGAAAAGTCTCTGTGCCCCACATCCTGTTTTGACCTTGAATTAATTCAGGTCAACAGAACAAACCACCTCAAAACAAGGACACTAACCTTGAATGGAGAGGCATTTCCTTAGTTTCAAACACTGAGTTAATTGAAGGAGGAAAGTGGTTGAAGTAGAAACATATTTGAGAAGAGAAAAAGAATAAAATATAATATTTCACATAAAATGGTTTGCTATTGCATTTTTAAACTTTAAAAGTCGTGTGGAAATCTCTCAAAACCCAATGGAGAACAAGCCTTTTGGGTACTGACTGAGCTGCAGCTAAAACCACTAGCATCATTGAGCAGATAATACACAGGTGATAAAAAAATGCTTTGACAATTACAAAGTTAGTCAATACAATCTTCTGGCCATTTCATCTGACTTAGAAAGCTCCACTTTCCTCTTCTGGGACCTTTGTACTGCTCCAGATTCAAACCTGGTATAGCAGACCGCCAGCCAATTAATCCTTGGGTTGTCTTTGGAACAGGAGGCGATGGTCCTACCTGTGGAAAGACAGATCCGAAATAGGTCAGGAGTCGAGACAATATTAGACTTCATACAAAAATAGAAATCAAGAACATGAGAGATAGCCCCAGGTAGGCTGCAACAAGTATGGTGTTCAGGTTCTGGTCATCTCACTTCAGAAAGGATATGAATATATTTAAGTGACTGCATTACATGCAGTTCAGTTATAAGGAAAGATTATACAAATTAGATATGTTTTCTCCAGAATTTGGAAGGTTAAGGGCTAATTTTTTTTTTTGATTCATTCACAGGATGGCACAGTGGCACGGCTGCCTCACAATGCCAGGGACCTGGGTTCAATTCCACTCTTGGGCAACTGTCTGTGTGGAGTTTGCACATTCTCCCAGTGTCTGTGTGGGTTTCATCCTGGTGCTCCGGTTTCCTCCTACAGTCCAAAGGTATGCAGGCTAGGTTGATTGGCCTTGCTAAATTGCCCGCAGTGTTCAGGGATGTGTAGATTAGGTGGGTTATAGGGGGATGGGTTTCTCTGCAGGTTGGTGTGGACTTATTGTTTCCACATTGTAGGGATTGTGGGGGGGGAGGGAGTGAGGGAAGAGGGGGAGGGGGAGGGGGAGGAG